TTATCCCAATTATCCCAATCCCAATTATCCCATTTATCCCAATCCCAAATTCACACGTAGGCCGACTCGCTGGACTGCGTCCTGCCCCGATCAATCCCAATCCCAATCCCAATTATCCCAATTATCCCATCAAATTCACACGTAGGCCGACTCGCTGGACTGCGTCCTGCCCAGGGCGGGCGCGGGCGCCGCCGGCTCCTTCCTGCGCGCCTCCCCCAGGGATTTGCGGCGCGCCCGGGCCCCGCGCACGGCGGCGCGCACCTTGCGCCAGCCCAGGTGGTTGAGCTCGGCCAGGTTGAGCAGGACGCAGACGCCCGAGACGGCGAACATGAAGACGAGGAAGACGCTCTTCTCGGTGGGCCGCGAGACGTAGCACTCCACCTCCTTGACGCAGGGGTAGCGGTCGCACTCGAAGATGGCCGGCACGCGGAACCCGTACAGGAAGTACTGCCCGCCCAGGAAGCCGATCTCCAGAGCGTTCCGGAACACCACCTGCGGCCGCCGGGCGGGGACGGGATAGACCAGATGATTAATCGTATAATCAATATTGTCAAAGGGGATAAATCGTGTAATCGATCATGTCATTACAAATATTTCAGATTTTCACGGTATTTCAAATATTGTGGGATCGATCATGGGGTCAGTCATGGGGCAGGAACGGGATAAATCATGTAATCGATCATATAATCAATCGTGGGATCGATCATGGGATCGATCATGGGGTCAATCATGGGGCAGGAATGGGATAAATCATGTAATCGATCATATAATCAATTACGGGATCGATCATGGGGTCAATCATGGGGCAGGAACGGGATAAATCATGTAATCGATCATATAATCAATTACGGGATCGATCATGGGGTCAATCATGGGGCAGGAACGGGATAAATCATGTAATCAATCATATAATCAGTTACAGGATCAATCATGGGATCAATCATGGGGCAGGAATGGGATAAATCATGATCATATAATCAATTACGGGATTGATCACAGGATCAATCATGAGATCAATCATGGGGCAGGGAGGGGATAAATCAGATAATCATATAATCAATTACGGGATCAATCATGGGGTCAATCATGGGGCAGGGACGGGATAAATCATGTAATCGATCATATAATCAATTACAGGATTGATCACGGGGTCAATCATGGGGCAGGGACGGGATAAATCATGTAATCGATCATATAATCAATTACGGGATCGATCACGGGATCAATCATGGGGCGGGGACGGGATAAATCAGATAATCAATCATATAATCAATGGTGGGATCGATCACGGGGTGGGGATGGGGTGGGGACGGGATAAATCAGATGATTAATCCTATAATCAATGGTGGGATCGATCATGGGATCGATCATGGGGTCAATCATGGGGCAGGGAGGGGATAAATCATGTAATCGATCATATAATCAATTAGTGATCGATCATGGGGTCAATCATGGGGCAGGAACGGGATAAATCATGTAATCGATCATATAATCAATTACGGGATCGATCACGGGGTCAATCATGGGGCAGGGAGGGGATAAATCATGGAATCGATCATATAATCAATTACGGAATCAATCATGGGATCGATCATGGGGTCAATCATGGGGCAGGAACAGGATAAATCATGTAATCGATCATATAATCAATCGTGGGATCAATCATGGGGTCAATCATGGTGTCAATCATGGGGCAGGAATGGATAAATCATGTAATCGATCATATAATCAATTACGGGATCGATCATGGGGTCAATCATGGGGCAGGAACGGGATAAATCATGTAATCGATCATATAATCAATTACGGGATCGATCATGGGGTCAATCATGGGGCAGGGAGGGGATAAATCATGGAATCGATCATATAATCAATTACGGAATCAATCATGGGATCGATCATGGGGTCAATCATGGGGCAGGAACAGGATAAATCATGTAATCGATCATATAATCAATCGTGGGATCAATCATGGGGTCAATCATGGTGTCAATCATGGGGCAGGAATGGATAAATCATGTAATCGATCATATAATCGATCGTGGGATCGATCATGGGGTCAATCATGGGGTCAGTCATGGGACAGGGAGGGGATAAATCATGTAATCAATCATATAATCAATGGTGGGATCGATCATGGGGTCAATCATGGGGTCAATCATGGGGCAGGGAGGGGATAAATCATG